AGCATTATATTTTAAAACATGCTATCCCTCCTAAAAAACAAAGAAACATTAACAGTTCTGGCTCTGGCATGATTACAAAATGTATTATATGATTGAATGTGCATTGAAAATATCATGGTTTGCCATAATTTTGACATAATTTTTAGCATTTGCATTTAATAGACCTTAGGAGGGAAGGGGAAGCATAAAGACAAAAAATGACTACAGAAAAAGCCTGAGGAAGGAGGGAAATCTATGCTGCTAAAGATAGTAAATAAAAACAAAGCTGTGGAGTACTCACTTGATAAACGCCCTTATAAGATAGGAAAAGAGGATTTGAATCTAGGCGGTTTGAAAACTAATTTGGATTTAATATATCTTTCATATCTTATAGACCAGGAAAGCTTTACACCCGAAGCACAGTCTGTGCTTATGAAAACAAAGGAAATTTTGTGATCACTGCTGTCACTGCTTTTTGTACTAATTGCTGTGTTGTCTTTCCGTCTGCTGTTATAATTGGATAAATCCAGTAAATATCTTATACAATGGTGACTTCAGACTTTAAATAAAATAATCTGATATCAGCAGCACATGGACTTGGGATGTGTTTACAACTTAACTGTATAATTGGGGTTCTAGCCGCATTGCATAATCTGTTAGTTTTTTGGCAACTTTAACCTCAAAATATTTAGCCTATAACATTTTTTGCATCAACAAATTTATAGGTAATATAGGTAATAGTTATTATTAAGAACACATTAGTACAATTAACTTTTTTATCGTTTGTTCTGAAATAAAATTTTAAAAAATATATGCATGAGCACGCATGTGAATTCTGGAAAACATGGTGACCCCTATTCATGATATCAAAAACAGGGTGATCCCCGTATTCGCACAATCAAAAACAGGGTAACCCCCCTACTGATCCACCGACCCCCCCCCCCAGGCCGATGTAACTGACCAATCCCTAAAGATCAAATTAAAAGGTTAAGTCAGCAAGATTTGTTTGAATAATTGATTACCAAGGGTTGTGATTTCAAACAGGGTTAATGTTTTACATTTATTGTACCAGTATTGAACAACATATGTATACCAGTAGAATTGAAATATTACCTGCATGTGTCATTTTCAATTATAATATTTCCAGACTGCACATGCCCTTGGATGTTAATTCCATGGTCATCTAGATATATCAGTGCCTATAATGTAAATATGTACAATCAGTCAAACACACAGTAATTCATCTACATGACTATAAACTCTTGATTTCCTTATTTGTTTACAATAAATAATAATGTTTATTGCATCTTTAGAAATACACATTTCTTTCAGTATATAACAATACAAATATTAATCAATACAAAAAAATAAAATAAAAGTTAGTAAGAAGAATTTGTTTGTGCAATAAGCCAACTTGCATAATGTATATTTATAATTTTTCAAAGATTTTGAACAAAACATGTAGCCAGAAATTATTGAAAATACACAAAATTGTGCAAAATTATGGTGATTAAAAACATTACACTACAAATGCCAACAGTTCCAGGTAGCATTTTTGAATTTGATCTGAAAAACAATATGATCATGGTCCCATAATGTCCCATAATGCACCAAATTTGAACAAAGTTTGTCCATAAAAGACCAAGATCTGGTTTTAAAATGGCTGAAATGCTTAATTTTGATTACATTCAAATGACTTTGTTTTGGTCAACCTGAACTAGATTGCCAAATGAATATAGGTGTATATGTGCAACATGATGTACAATGTATATCTAAGGTTTTATATGATTGGTCAGAAAATTAACGTCTGAGATAGAGCTCTGGAAGTGAATTGTTAATGCAAAATGGCCACCAGGCAGCCATTTTGAATTTGATCAGAAAAAAAATGACAGGCATTAAGGTTTCACAATGTTAGTTGTTTGTTATACAAGTTCATAAATGACTGTGATCTAGTATTGGAATGATGCAAAACTAATACATGTGCTTTAATATGTCTCTCAAGATACATGATGTATTGTATTAAGTTTGAATTCAATTGGTCCAGACATGTCATAAATACAGATACAGATACAGACACATACATGCATACACACACAAGGGTCAAAACATACTAGTAATTCCTCAAACAGGGACAAATAATTAAAAGTACTCTGTATTTTAGTTTCATAACTAGGTCTGACATATCATTACGTACACTTACCTCAAGAACTTGTTTGCCATACAGCTGTATCTGATACAATGAGAGTCCATAACCAACAGTGGAATATTTGTTTTCAACATCTTGATAAGGTTTAGACTGCATAACAGAAGTAGTACCAGTAGTAGTTCAGAATAAAACAAATAATAATTCAAAACATATTTGCTACAACTTGATTTTTAGTAATTCATTTTTTCTATGCAAGTTAACATATAATTGTAAGACATTAACATATGAGACCATATGGAATTAATAACAGTTAAAACATGCATCATGTTATTATTATTTTGTTACAATAGATGCAAACAAGATTTGTCTGGAAAATTAGCAAACTCCCTATGAACATTGTAATATAGTGAGTGACTTTTGTATCTGTAATCAATTTGATAAAATTTGATAGGTAGATAATTAATTTTGTTGTGACTATACAAATGAAGTTGTAAATTATCTATACTAATTTTATTTGCAGTCGCTTCAACCATCTGGAAAAGTGAAGGAGTTATTGGAACTTTGATAGAAGCTTTCCCAGGGAAAAAAAAGTTGCAAGTAACCCTTACAACTTTTGTTTGGTACCCGCTGTAATATCATTTCCGAATATTACCCAAAGTTTGGGTTAAATATTATTCTTTAAAATGCAAAACATCACAATTATGGTTATGCATTATAACTATGTATTGCGCACAAAATGTACCTATCTCGTATCGCTGTGGAATTGATATTTTTATACAGCAGAACTGTTCCAACAGATTATTCTAAATCATCATGAAAAATGTGTGTAATATATGCAGCAGAATTTATGAGAAAATGAGTGACAAATCTCAAAACAATTAGCCTAAAAAAAAAAAGCGACCTAACGGTCGAAATAGCTCCGCTGTCTTCATTATCATAGAACAAGAATCAGTAAAGTGGCATCGTGGTTGACGGTTTCGGACTAGTTGTCGAAAATATCAAAAATGACAAAAATATTCACTAAAAATCCAAATTTACATATTTTGACACAAATTTAACAAATCTGACAGAGGAACACCCCAAGTACCATTGCTGCAAATATCAAAGCATTGGACTAGTTGTCGAAAATAATTTTTTTTTACCCAAAATGACAAAAATATTCACTAAAAATTAAAATTTCCATATTACGACACGAATTTAATAAATCGGACAGAGGACCACCCCAAGTACCTTTGGTACAAATATGAAGTACTTTTGAAGAAGGAGTCATTTAGAGGAAAACTTCATGCGGGACAAGGGACGCGGGACAGACGACGGCGGAGAGACCCCTATACCAACAGCCCCACTGGGTCATCTGCGATGACAGCGGAGCTAAAAAAATTTTTAGAAAAACAATTTCACTAGAATTAATCCCTTCTGAGGCCTAACAATCAATTTACAAATTAACAAATATCACTAACCTTGTAAATAATATCTTTTAGAGAACCATTATGGTTATAATGTTGAACTACCACAATAAGATCTTGTTCAGCAACAAAATCTACATCATCCATGGGAAGAAGATAGGGATGCTATGAAAATATAAAGAACAAGATGACAATGTTGAATATATATTTGATGAGCATAGAGGTACTGGTAATGGTTTTCTACAATCTCTTATATATGCAAATATGTAAATCAGCATACACTTCACTTCTTGTTTCCATCACAACTGCTATACATAACATATATACAGACACTGTAACCACTATATCCCCTAACACTATGTTTTATTTGGTATAATAATACAAATATTGACCCCAGTCACTGTTGAAATACAGATTTGTCACCTCTCAGAGAGTTTTGGCCATCACTGCTTTCTACACAAATCAAACTTCGCCAAGATTATACACTGGTTAGTTATTATTCATTAAATCTTTATTGCAGGATATAATATATCTAAGTTAAAAAACAAACAAATAATGTTTGAGTCAGTGTATCCACAAGGAAATGTTTATGAAATATTAGAAAGAACTCCCATGTGCTGAGGGCAGTAGAGGCAACTATTGAAGATATAAACAAATATTAAACTATTAAACAAGAAACCTGTTGACTGGTTTATCTCTGTGGTTTGCATACTATGAAAGTAATGTGATCACATTATGAAAGTCAATAATAATAACAGAAAACGTGATTGTATATTAGTGGAAAAGCTGAAAATATTTTTGTACATATTATGCACTTCATTCCTAAATCAATATTATCTATGGGGAATCATGAGCACATTCACAAGTTTTTATTGAAATTTGTTTGGTGGTTCTCGAGATATAAATGTAAAAGCTTAAATTGGCTAATTATTATGAAAATTGGTTACCCAGTACTTTTTTTAATGATATCAAGTTTGTTGATTATTCCAAACTGCGTTACTTACAACGGTATTTTTGTAAGTAATAATTTATGTTAAATAATCCTTGTAAGTTGTAATATCAACGTAAATGCTTATATGTATGCAATGTACTTGCCCATTATCATAAATGTAAAAATAACAATTTAATGTTAAGTGGGCAGATATACATAATGCATGTATTTCTTTGAATTAAAATTTATTATGAATTTCAAATTTCAACAAAACGGCTAGAATTCCGACAATGTACCATACAAGTATAATGACAATAGTCAATTCAGATATTTATTATAAACATACCAGTGAACAATAACAATCATGTTCAAATTATATTCATATAAACAAGTGAAACAGTTCAATGGATTATGTTTTTACAATATCGATATTAAAAATCTACTTTGCCAACTGTTAGAGAGCTGGAAAAATTAATTAAGAATGCGAAAAAGACATGAAGGTTTGTGGCAAATAGGTGTTGTAAGGGTTTCAAGCAGTGGAAGTGTGCCCTCTATGGTCATTTATATATTTATATTTCCACACTACAGGTCAGAGTATCCCAAAATAGATAACAGTAAATACAATCACAATCAACTAATAATTGTAATAATATTAACTATACTGGTATAGGTTTAATAAAATCTTTGGAATGGGAAAGTTGAAATTAATCACACATCTGCAGTTTGGGTTGTGAAATTTTTTATCATAGTCACTGTCGATTGGGGCAACCGACGACTGAATATGAACAACGTCCACTCTGACCACTGTCAATCAGTACATTTAACATTATTTGAAAATTTCAATTTAGTATTTAAAACACAAAGCCTGGTGACTAATATACCTCTGCAATATCACCCCAGTTTATATTAATATTAAAGCAAAGGAATAAATTCAATTTGTATGGATATAGACCTATAGGTTTGCTATATGTGATTTATCCCAGAGTACCTATGTAACAAGTTTAATTTAAATCTCATAAACATTTTTTGAGATATTATTATTATTATTATTATTGTTGACTATTTGTCCCTAGAATTAAATTTCAATTTAAAACACAAGTTTTGAGAGCAAATTATATTAATATAATTCAGCATACAGTGCATACTTGGGCTCTAACTTTTCTCCCATGATGCAAATTAGATAATTATTATCCACAGATTGTAGCCTAGTATTAATCAGAGAATCTATGCTATGTACCAAACAAAGTTATTAAATCTAATCAGGTTTGTGCTTTATCCCAGACCATCTATGTACCAAGTATTATTGATATCTGATAATTGGTTTATTAGATATCAGTGGAACAGAAATATATGTAAATATATGGTTGTTTGTTCTCACATAAAAACCTTTGTACCTCCACTTCAATACACTGTCGCGACATAGCAAACTCTGATTAACCCTTAATGCAGCTCAATGACTTAACACATAGAAATTGGTATCACAGCCATGCACTAAGTGAGTCTAATACCTAACAAATGGTCTGAAACCATGTCAATGCAATAATTTTCACTTCAAAAAAAATAGTGGTAAATGACAGGTATTGACTAATTAGAGAAGTAATCCTTTCATTTTCATTTTATATAAAATCAAAGAAAGCTTAGAAAGAACTCCCGTGTGCTGAGAGTATTGGAGACACATTAATTCAAAATTACTTGAACTTGAGATATTGATGGAAATGCAGAAAACTAATTATGCAAATAAGGTAACTAATATGAACACATTTAAGTGTAAAACTAATAAGATCTGCGTAATGTAATATCTATGTACCAAGTTTCATTGAAATGTGATTAGAACCAAAAAATTATTAATTATGGTGCTAATTAAGAGAATTAATATGAACAGATTTTAACCCAAAATTAATCAGGCTGTCTATTGTCCTAGAGCATTTATGTACCAAGTTTTATTCAAATGTGATGATCAATACTTGAGATATCAGTATTAATTAATTATGTTAATTAGGTGATTAAGAAGCATAAATATTTACCAAAACTAATATGGTGTACAGTCCTACACATGTAGGTTCATTGAAATGTGATGA